TCGATTAAAACACGATTTATATGTGAAAACGCATATATATATATATATATATATATATGTTTAATAAACATTTGCATCGTTCTATCACACGGAATTCTACAAAACATTCCGTTCTCCTCATCACTCATACATTGATCGGCATAGTTGCAGGTAACGTCATTTATTCCCGTCTTTCTGATGTCAGTTGTTAAACGCCTTATGATTATTCGAATCAAGTCAGCTAATAGGAAACCAATTCGGATGGTTCCATTCATGTGACATCTGATCTCGCACAACGGTACTGTATACATAAATATGAAAACACTGCAGCCAATAACTCAGTTTCCTCCAAACTCAAACGGATTCATTATCGGTTACAGCATAGGTATGTCCAATCAGATCATTTTGGTGGTAGCTTGAGCTTGCATTCTGTTACGGTTGACCATTTATTGAACGATCGATTTAGGTGACTGATTCTGGCTTATGAATAATACTGATTGCGACCACAACAGCAGATACACATCAGGGGAATTGTTATTTGAAATGTTAGGGCAATAAAGTACCTGGATTTTGTTTTTACATCAATTACATTCGTTGATTCCGATTGTATTCAACATTTGATTTTGGTTTGAATGCATGGTGAAAGCGTGGCAGTGTTCGTGTTGCGCCGCTTTTGGAAATCATCCGGCTATTGCGGTTCGTTATTTTTAAACGTTCCTGCTTAAAATACATTGGTATTTAATATCCATTCCGGGCGCGTTTGGATATTCATGGCTTTTGGGTAATAGCACTATCTCTGATTTTGAGTTAGGATAATGAGCAATTGAATCAATCGCATATAAACACTCAGTTTATACTACTGAATACACTCAATGACCGATCATTTTAAGGAAAAACTATGATAACGTTCTATTGAAATTCATTGACTTCAGCTCCAACATTGAAGTCAATTTTACGGTATACCGAAAACTAAGATTGTCTGACAACAGTTGTACACTTAATGTGTACTGCGAGAGATTCGGTCATTCTTTTCATATATCCCATCTCCATAGGTTGTCGATTTAACTGATTAGAAGATGTCAATAAATCGGTTCAGTTGTTTTTATCTACGATAGAAAATTAGATCAGACGACTAAGCTGACTAACTATGGCTGAAAATGTATGGCAGGAAACGTGAAATGCTAATTTTGGTTGCTCCTAGTGTCATTTAGATTTCAAAGCGGCAGCGCACGCCTTTCAGGTTTTGCGTTTGGAGTTATTAGCTTGAACAGGAAGATAAATATGCATCAATACTTAGCTCCAATGAAAGTGAAACTCTACTCTGGTGTTTCCGTGGTGTACGATTGCCTAGATGGACTGAGGATTGCGCCTGAGGATGAAGTTTGAAGGGAAGTCATTTCAGATCAATTACAGTTGACCCATATCACCACACACAAGTTACCCTGTGGCATGGAGAAATAAATTACCAGCTCATTGCCAGATCCACATTTGAGATAGTCTTGAATAACCATTCTTTCGACAACATTTTCGTAGCAGACAGTTCTCAGTCAGTGAAATACTACTTGGCAAATTGTAATGCGTCATGTTTGCGAATGCTCGAGGGTATGAGTGAGTCTATTTTGCACACATAGGTTAAGTGTGAACAGCTGAATATCGATCGGCTGTGGAGGAACTAGGATGAGGAGGCGAAATAACTTAGGTTCTACCTGAGGGTTGATTGTAAAGGCTGTTATGGCTTTCACTTATTGGCTTATGTCTGCCAGGTAAGCAGAACCTTGTTCCAATCTGAAAATCCAAGGAGGGATCATTTGCTTCACGGATTGCCTCACACACGGATCTTGTCTTTTTGATCAACCGTCTATTTTTTCAGCAAACTAGTTTAAAACGAATTTCCAACAACGCCTCAAAATCCTGTCTAACTCGAACAAATAAGTCACAAACATGGGTTTACACAATGTATCCTGGTCATACCGTTGCATCAGTACACGTGCATACTGCAAAGTGATTGTTACTGCCAGTCAGATGAAAACTGTGAGACGAAGACAAGATCGCTAATCACAATGGGCAACACGATACAACAATACAAAAAAAGGCAAGGGTAGGGGTCAACCACTATGGCAAAGCTAATTTGACTAATCATTCACACTATTTTCATAGATCGGCTGAGTGTGAATAGCTAGAGACTCTGGAAATTTCAGTAACAATGTGTGTTTGTCGTGTTGTGTTTTAAGGTTGAGTTGGGAAACTATCATTTTGATTTACGAAACCGTCTTTTTGGATTGAGAAATGATCACTTTGAACTGGAAAACTGACATTTTGAATTGAGAAAGGAACGCTGTGGTTGAATCCGCTTCCGTTCAGTGCACCTCATTGGTCAATTAATCACGTCTTTTTCTACCCCCCACCCTGGACTGACCACCTGTCCTCCCACGCTCTTTCTGTGTTGAAATGAGGCAGATCTCAGTTGTGCATCTTGTCGAGCTCGTTGACGCACGTCGACTCCGTCGGTCAGTGTAGCCGTGCGATTTGCATGAGAAAACTAAGCTGTACGTAATCCGGCAAGCATGAAGGTGACGCATAGTTTCGTGCGAACAACAGCTAAAGTACAACTGTTCGTAGTTGCTCGGACATTGACGATTGCTCAATAACCAAAGCTGATCACAGTAACTACGACCATGGAGGAGTTTCGTACTTACGGTGCACTCGAAGTGATTTAATTTTCATTACTTGTATAATGGGTCTGTTCGAATATCAAAATTTGTTCAGGGACAGAGGTTGGAGTTCTTGAGGTAATCTTGGGTTGTCGTTCAGCAATGAAATCGTAACCAAAACCAGTTACATCTTAAGTGTAGCTCGTCCATTCCTGGTTCAACTACAGAACTGAACGAACTAGAACGCAGTTGACCCGTTTGAGAAATAGTGTTACTCGTTTTCACAAAAAGTGCTGTTGCGTAAGAAACATCGACAAATGACATAAGATTACAGTAAACATTTTTTTTCACAAGGTCGTGGTTATCAAGCATATCACTTTGGGGTCTGTAATGATAAACTTTGGTAATCTCCGGGCAGAAATGCAAGATAAATCGGCGGAAAAGAACATCAGCATTATTTATATTGGATTTGTTGATAAAGTCAGTGATAGTTAGTCAGCTAGAGTAGCTGATAAATAGTGTGATGTCTGCATCAACTCAATACCACAGTAAGATAATGGAAAGTCTCGGCTCCATCTTCCACACCACTCAAGACTTATGAGCGATCTATTTTTGAGATTCTTTCTTCTTCGGTTGATCCTTGTGATTTTAACCAGTTCGCCTATGTGTTGGAAAACATTTTTTGAATTCATCGTTTGTTTTGCTGCATCAGTTATATTCTTATGATTGTTCCGTACAAGACTTTAGTTTTACGGACCGAACAATCTGATTGGTTCAGGTTTCTGTATAAACGCCTGTGATTCCCTTACCAAATGTGATTCTTGTCGGTTGCACTTAAAAATATATTGAGAGCACTTCCTGAATAACCGACTTTTGACATGATGGCAGCCTATTGTAAGCAACGCTCTACTGTGGATGCCGTTGTCTGTCTTACACTTCGTTTTATCCTTGGTCGGCCAAAAACACAAATCTGATCATTTTGGTTTTTGGACTATAGAAACACTTTAAACTCAGTTAATAGAAACACCCCCATTGACACGGTTACATTGACAAAATCTCCTGCTACATCTGCTAAATTGCATACTTGACTATTTTACTGACTGATGTCAGTTCACATGTCTTATTGGTATTAGGTCTTCCACTGTCATTGTAAACCACTTTGTTTTCATATTTAAGAATGCCAATGCTATAGTGGCTGGTGATGCATACAACGGCATCATTTTAATTAACCCCCTTCGATCAGCCATAGGTATCATTTCTACATGGTCTTAAAATGGCATACATTATGAAACTGCTCGTTCTTCGCTAACCCCGTAGAATCCAACAAATACAATCTCCTTCTTGATCTACTTCAAACATCTGGAGAGCTTGTCGTTGACGATTCACCTTCGCAACTGAATTATTCATTCCAGATGGAGTGACAAGAAGCTTATTGATTGTAATCAGCCGATAATCCAAATAATTTCCGACTGTTGTGCGTGACACCTCCCTCTCAAGCTCCGCTTCAATTCGAACCCTTGACAACCCCAGCGTGATTGTGGAGTCTTCTTCCAACCGGGTGATCATTTTGTCTATCTCCGTGTCATTTAAGACTTTTCTCCTTCCTCCGCCTTTTGGTTGAAATTCGTATTGCAGTTCATTGGCATAAATCCAGCTGTACGTGGTCTTATACTTCACTCCATTGTGTCTCGCAACAACATGCCAATCCTGTCCCTCTTCGAAAGCCTGAACAATTCGCTTGCGCACAATTTCTCAGTTCAAGGTGATGATTTCTCAATTCAAAAGACGGTTTCACAAATCAAAATGATGGTTTTTCAAGTTAACCTTAAAATTGTAGAGATGATGTATAGATGCTTGGGTTAAAGTGACAAAACGCTTTTGGTCGAATGAGTGTTGTGTTATCGGAGATCTAAGTGTTTTCTACTCATTCGATGACTCGAAGGTTTCCTTTCGTTCATTGCTGTCTTAAGTCACACCGGGATGTGTTTGGCCAATCGGTTACGTGACTGTCTCTCTGTCTTGCCGTGCATATGGCCGAGCATCCAACCTGAATTGGTAAATACAGTTCGCCTTGACGGATGAGGTAATTGTTCGTTCATCGACGTCCTCGGTATCCGAGTGCCTGTTGACCGGGTTATAGCCAGCACTCTCGTTTCACTGAGGGAAGGCATAGCTACATAATGTCTAATTATACCCGTACCCTTAAAGTAGGTTTCATAATCTGCATGTTACACTCTAATTTAGATGGAATTCTTCTCGCTGTTGTCAGTGATGATTTTCTATAGATCATTCAGTAGAACTATGAAATGGAGAAAAACGCGATCGTCATCTGAAAGTTTCACTCTATTCTACAGACCGCAAACAAACACAATGTTCGCAAGTAAACTGACAGAGAGAGACCAAGAAGACGCCCCAATGCTTGTGATTGGGGCAGGGGTTGGTCGAACCGGAACACTGAGTTTGAAAATCGCTTTGGAAATACTATATGAAAAACCATGCTACCACATGACGGAGATCGCGCACAAACATTTGGACCACGTGAAACTGTGGATAGAATTGCATGATCGACTGGTGCAAGATATGGATACCGAACTGCCTCAGGATGTGATCAGGCGGATTTTCAAGGGTTATCAGTTGACAACAGACCACCCGGGATGCGTGATCTACAAACAGTTGATGAAAATGTATCCTGATGCAAAGGTACGCACTCCTGAGCATGATTTCCATATCATTCTGAAAACGAATTCATTACGCAGTACAAAAGTGTGATGCGTACCACTGAAATCGCTAGGACGCACTTCCCAACCTTAGATCTTTGCTAAGAACTGTTAGCATTACACAGTCGGTGGGTTTGAGAACTCTAATATATGCGCATAAGTGTGTGTGCATGCGTTTGTGGGTTTTATACTATAAAATGTGAATTACAGTAAAAGGGGACATCCCCATGGACAAATAGTATACAGTAAAAGGGAGAGTAAGGGAACATTCATGTGAAATCCAGTTTATTGATTCTGCGCTTAAAAAGTGTAAGATTGTAAGTTAGGGGAAAAACAGCAAGTGAGAGGGTGTTCCACAGTCTGTCAGTTCCGGAGAAAAAAGATTGGAGCAGAGAGGTACGACATCTGGGAACAGAAGCCTAATAAAGATGACTGGATAACTATGTACAGAATGGGCGGGTAAAAGTTTCCGACGCAAGTTCCGAAGAACAAAAACCAAAGTAGTAGCGGTAGAACAGGGACAATGAAGCAACTGCCAAACGATGGGCTAGCGACTGCAGACCGGATGACAAGAAAGGATCATCGATTAGCCAGATAGCCTTTCGTTGAACACGATAAAGAAGGAAAAGAGAAGAAGACGAAGCCTCCACCCCACACGCGACTACATTATTCAAGGGTAAGGCGGATTTGAGCTTTGCACAAAAGAAGAAGATGAGCTAGAGTGAAAGAAAACGTCTGGCGTCTGGTTACTCACGATTGTGTATACCATGGTGTTCCCTTGGTACTAAGCAGGCATTTCTTTATTCGAGTTCGATAAATACAAGGGCTTGATTGTTGTGCGTCGCTCCGCAGTCACTCTTCATCAGCGATCCAAATCTTCCGACTCAACACGTGAGATCACGGGCAGAATACAGGCATTAATCAGCTGGGTGGATCATTTAATTCTGTTGGATTAACAATCATACCCTATTGCCAAAAATAAGTTCAGAATTTTCTTACTAATATTTCATACGAACTGGCTCTCATCAATATCCCCCCTTTCTTGTGTATGGTACACTTGGTTTCAGTCCGCCAAGTCCCGAGCTAACCACTGAAACGATGAAATATCTCCACAGTTCAAAGATTTTGCTGTGTAACTGACAGTTTCTTCTTGAAAATAAACATAATCGATTTGTTGAACATTAGTGCGAGTGTGAAAGAGTAAAATCGATATCTGCTGTCATGTGCTCTAGAGTTAGGTCTGGGGTTTTTAATCATTTGTTTCACTTCATTATATTGAATATACAGTAACAAAAGTTTCACGAAAGGGGAAACGACCAATATGAGGGTCGTCATACTACACACAAAATGGAAAAAGCTTGTGTTTTTGGTGGGATTGAAACACCATTCGGGGCGATGAGGTGGTAACCGATAAAGCCCGATCATCCCCGCATTGCAAGAAACGAGAGAGTAATTTTAGAGTCATTTGATTCTGCAATCATGTNGTATGCCAACGCAATAATATTATAGGGCTCAATCCGCAAGGAGCGCTTCTGTTCGCTAGTTTGGTTTGAACAAAGCGTTTATCAATTTCACAGATAGAATGACAAATGATAAACGCATTATTATAAGGGCGATAGAATAGATTAAGATGAATTAGATACGATAAAATAAAGACTCTCTCCGGACTGGCCGATTACCATCGGACTGGAAGAAGGCGCTGGTTGTTCCCTTGTTCAAAGGTGGTGATAAGCATGCCCCGGTAAACCATCGGCCCGTGAGTCTGACTTGTGTAGCATGTAAAGTGTTAGAGAAATTAGTGACGAAGCACATAATCAGTCACCTAGAGGCGCAACATTGCATTTATTCTCGACAACATGGCTGCCGACGGGGCCGTTCCTGTCTATCCAATCTCTTGTTGGCACGTGAGCATTGGGCGGACTCTAAAGCTGAAGGTTATCCTACGGATGTTGCGTTCGTGGATTTCAGCAAAGCGTTTGATACGGTGTCTCACTCGAAGTTACTGGTGAAATTATG